GTAACCGAAAACTGCATCATATCATGAAAGGAAAGAATTTTTTTGTTCTTAAAATAGAACGTGTATCTAAATAAATCAGTTTCAACGAGGAAGCAAGGAATACTATTATAATTATCAGATTTAGAATAAGTTTCAACTTTATCTTCGAAAACATATTCATAAAAATAATCTTTAGGTGCAGATTTTTTAAGGAAGATAATGCCAGCTTTAGACATATCTGTTTCTTTGTAATAGATTTTTTTTTTAACAAGTTTTTTTTTTGATTTTATTTTCATTTTTTTTTTTTAGCGGGATTTTATATTTTCTCTTGTGTTAAATAAAGAAATTCATTGATAAATGAGTTACCATAATTAAAATTTAATCGGAGTTATTAATTTTTATTCTGGGTTCAAAAGATCTAAGAAAATACTTCTAAAATATATTAACATGTACCAGAACCCGACGTTATAATAAACATAAAAAATTATTATCCACATTATTGTTTTATAAATATTTTGATAGCCTATTTTAAAAAAATGAATCATAATTCTATAGATTATATTTATCAAAAATAAAACAATTATACTTAAGAAAACATTTTCATAACATTGTTTATATATCCACATAATTAATCTATAATACCCTTGCCATATATAATAGATATCGGAGAATTGTAATATATAAAATATATACTGTAATTAAACAAATTAATTAGCTAAGTCAATTTAACAACAAAATAACAGAGCACTTACATTAATCATTTTAATCGGGTTTGTTAAAAAAAGTAAATCAATTCTTTTTTATAGTTTTTTACTGCTGTGTAACAATTTATTTATCTTTTGATAATATATAAATAGAATTGATACAGCTGATATAATTAATAATCAAAGAAAAAAAAAACTAAGGTACACTTTTATTTATTTTATATTTTATATATTTTATTATATTAATACGTATTTTTATTATTTATTTAGATATTATGAATAAGAACAAGATTTTAATTATTTTTTTATTTTTTGTTTTCATAAGTTTGAGTTTTGGTAAACAACTCAAAAAAAGGAAAACTAGTTGTTCAATTTGTCATGCTGCCAATGTGAACATGTTTGGTTATAACAAACGTACTCACGTTTCTGTTAGAAACCACAAACGCAAACGTGATTCATCCAAAAAATATAAGTGTAGCATTTGCGGTAGCGTGGGCTATAATAAACGAACCCATTCTAACCACTAAGTTTTTTAAAGTATTAATAAAGTTAAATTTATATGTTAAGAATTAAATAAATTAATTCATATTTTATTCAATTGTTAAAAACAAATACAAATTTAATGATTATTCAACTTTGAAATTATAATTAATAGTTTCTTCGATTAACTCATCTAAACTTATAAACCCATCATCAAATTTATAATTACTAACTGCATTAATACATAGCTTATGATGGTAATCGGTATGATATAATGACCATTCTTGTTGAACATAAGTACTAATAAGACGGTCATTTGAACCATTTCGTAAGTGATATCGAAATATATCACTTTCAGGCCAGCAACCTAAAAAAGTATCAATTAAAGGATCTGAATATCTCCAAAAATTCCATATGGTATGGTAGCACCAACCTTCTTCGTGTGTATCAGAATAGAAAACATCTTTGTTTTGACTCTGTAATCGATTGTGAGAATTATTTCTGACTTCAGAATCCCAATGAGCAATATATTCAATATTACCATAATATTTTTTCTCCCAGATTCTCGTCATATTGAATATAAGTTATTTTTGATTTCTTAATTTATTTAACAAATTTATTAGATTTGTGTTATAAAAAATTCGAGTTATTTGAAAGCTTTTATAGTTTTCATTCGGATAAGCAATATGCTTTAACTATTCCGACTATTATATATGCAGAATATATGTTCTTATTGTTCATTTTATTTATATTCATTTACCCTTTTCGTATACAAAATATATATCTTATTGTTCAATTTATTTACGCCCAAACTATATTTTATTTATCTTATTGTTCATTTTATTTACTCCCAAACTTACCGTTTCTCGCATGAAAATATTTACATGTTCTTATTGTTCATTTTATTTACGTTCAACTATTTACCCGTTTCGTATACAAAATATATATCTTATTGTTCACTGTAATCGATTGTGGGTATTATTTCTGACTTCAAAATCCCAATAAGCAATATATTCAATACAGAATATATTTTCTTATTGTTCATTTTATTTACGCCCATTTACCCTTTTCGTATATATCTTATTGTTCAATTTATTTACGCCCAAACTATATTTTATTTATCTTATTGATCTTTTATTTACTCCCAAACTTACCGTTTCTCGCATGAAAATATATATACATGTTCTTATTGTTCATTTTATTTACGCCCAACTATTTACCCTTTCGTATGCAAAATATATATCTTATTGTTTATTTTATTTGTGAATTTCCAATTATTAGAAAAAATTCTTTTTATTGAGTAGAAAAGTGATATTGGGTTTCTGATTCCAATTATTAGAGTAAATTCTTTTATTGAGTAGAAAAGTGATATTGGGTTTCTGAGTTTTACTTCTAAATAGATAGTAAAATTGATTTTCACTTTGAGTTTTGGTTTTCAAGATTATTGTATTTCTCGAAATCTTTAAATTGTTCTGACCGATTTAACATTTTTATTAATAAAAAAATACAGAGTTTGAAAGTATTTATATAATTTTAATTATCGCTTATATTTTCTAATTGCTTCAATAAGTTCAAAATCCTTGAACTTTTCTGACCAATTCGACATTTTTATTAATAAAAAAAAAAATACAAAGTTTGAAAGTATTTATATAATTTTAATTTATATTTTATATTTTCTAATCGCGTCTATAAGCCTACTCCAAAGATCGTTTTTATGTTTACGTCGCCAAACAAATTCTTTCAAATGCATTTCAATTTTTCCTTTACTATATTTCTTTTTAACATTGTTTGTTTAACATCGCTCCAAGTTCCTTCGATATGTTAAGTATGAATTCTTTTTATAATTTGATTTTTACTTGGTTTTTTATGATTAATTCTTCTATGCTTAAATCCCATTCCTA